TAGATAAATACATATATATATATATATATGCATACTAAAAATGCACATAAAAATGCACATAACTACAAATAATATATATGCATATAGAAATCTATACTTCGCATTATATATATATATTGTATGAATATATTATGCACATATGCATGTACACATAAATAGAAGTGACTATACGTAATAGACAAATAAAGCATTCTAACTACATACAGTATCAAATCTTATCATTATTTCATTATAATGACTTTTTTTCAACCAAATAAATACCAAATAAAAATTAATTTAGCAATAAACAATACAATTGTTTGCTGTTCCGGAAATTAATCTATCAAGGCAGTGCTTCCCAAGCTTTTCCTAGTAGCGGCGCCCTTTTTCAATTAAAACTTTTCCATAGCGTCCCACCCTAAGTATGCCTATTCGTAAGTAAGAGATAAAAAAAAGAAAACTCGTTTATCTTCATTATTTTTTAAAATTTTATTAAAATTAAATTAATATTCAATAATTAATGTGATGGATGAGCCTGCACATCACTGCACATTTTCTCCAATTGAAGCTTTTACAATATGTCGCGGCGCATGGTTTGGGAATCACTGTATTAACGTATAACGATCACCTTAATAGATAAAATCAATTAAATAAATAAATAAATAAAAAAATATATATACTCAAATATGTATATACAAATATATACTCAATACCAGTTTAGAGCTGCTGGCAGACAGGCCTTCGGCGAAGTTGACATTCGCAACCTCTTCTGGAAGAATTTCTCTGTCGTCACCTTCGACTGGCCGCCTGCCCGACAGGGCCTGTCGTCAAGACACTGTCGCACAGGTCCCGGTAGATCGGCGAGGCTAGAGGCATGGAGACACGTCACGGTTGGTCGTGGTGTCTGTTGCCAACGCTTAGGTTTGTGTTTAGACTTTTGTGTTTAGACTATGCAACAGCTTTTGTCGTTCATTTTCTTCACAAAGTGAAGAATGGAAGAGACGAGTTAACTTTGTTCTACAGTTTGCCCAGTTTGCCCAGTTTGCCCACGGAAAGCTCCGATTGAAACGCACCTCCGAACTTGCAAGACTTGTGCTCTCAACGTCTCTACTAAAGCCATCCACAGAGCGTTTGTTTGTGTGTTTATGTCCTACATCATACACTTGTCACACACAACAATGCTTTCTGCACAACACAGCAAGCGTGCTAACTCCTTTTTATGATCAGAGGGACCTTCATTTCGTATGAAAGTGCATGAAGAAGAAATTCGTTGGTCCATTTCACCAGATGAGGACGGATGAATCGTCATGCACTTTCACACGAAATGCAGCTCCTTCTAACAATGTTATCTCAGGCGATTCTTCGTATTCTTTTTTATTAACCCAGCCATCGTTATGTTTAACTGAACATGTGAATACCAAGATTTTGTGGCTCTGGTCTGGTCGCAGACTCTTTTCAATTTATAGAATTGGGTTAACCTTGTTGTCGCAACTTTGTCTTGTTGTCAGGGCGACTATGTAGAACGCATCTTGTCCGAAGTCGTTTACCATATTGGTTGTCATGATTCCCAGCATCAGACTGTACATTCTCAGACGTTTCGCCGACATCTTAGTCGGCATCATCAGTCAGTTTTGCCATTCGCCGCACCAAGCTACCAACTTGTCGAAGAGACAAGTGAAGTCAATCCCTCGACAACCGTTCTGCCGAAAACGGTTACACCATCACTCCTCTTTCTGTTCTACATAGTCTCCATGACAACAAGACCAAGTTGCGACAACGATGTCAACCCATTTTCATAAAGCGAAAGGAGACTGCGACCATAACAGAGGCAAAAACATCTTGGCCTTCATATATTCAATGAATATCCTAATTAAAAAGGAGGCAAAACGATTGATAAAAGTGGGTTGACCTCGTTGTCACAACTTGGTCTTGTTGTCAGGGCGACTTGATAGAACGCACCTTGTCCGAAGTCATTGGTAGTCATGATTCCCAGCATCAGACTGTACATTCTCGGACGTTTTGCCGGCATCGTAGTCGGCAGCATCAGTCAGTTTGTCCATTCTCCGCGCCAAGCTACGAACTCGTCAAAGTGATAAGTGAAGTCGATTTCTGCGGAAGATTTTACCAAACTCCAGACCTTGATCGACAGGAAATCACGTATGATTGGTGACTTAATGACAAAACGGCATGACGATAAATTGCGTAAGTTTGGGATTATAAGACAGCCTAACTTAACGCCAGTACGCCCAGTTGAAGTGGTTGCCGAGGTGACGGATCAACACGAGGACAGGAGGAAAGTACAAATTCGCGAAAAAACCGCGTTCCTGGAAAAAGGACTTCATTTTGCTATTCAGTATCACAGAAGCCTTCTAGGAGCCAACGAGGTCAACCCACTTTTATTATTTTTCGCATTAAGTATTGTTTCGAGACTACCAGTAAACCAGTAGTATGAGATGTATTCACCCAAATTCGTTTAAGGTCATGAGCGACTGGTAGAAGAAAAATTTTCACACAATCATATGAGTTGAGCTGACGTTTTCATTCAATTTCACATAGCCTTGCTTTCCCAAAATATTCTTCACATCCGAAATTGGGTGAATACATCTCATATCAATTTTATTATGTTTAACCTGTACCCACTCTTCCATTTAGCCACCATTCCCAAAAGTTGTTCTCATCCAGGGTGGACTGCAGTGAAATTCAATGGAAGCGTCAGCTCAACTCATATGATTGTGGGAAAATTCTTTCACCAGTCCTTCCTCATCTTAAACGAAATTGGGTAAAAAAAGCTCATACCACTGATTTACTGGTAGTCCCGACACAATACTTAAATGCGAATGTAACAAAAATAAATTCGTATAAAGTTAGCTAGATATAGGATGATTTTGATAGTTAGTTGTCAGGGTAATCTTAGTATATTTTTCGTATTTAAGTATTGTTTCGAGACTATCAGTAAATCAGTAGTATGAGATGTATTCATCCAATTTAGTTTAGGGTCATGAAGGATTGGTAGAAGAAGAATTTTCCCACAATCATATGAGTTGAGCTGACGTTTTCATTCAATTTCACATAGCCTTGCTTTCCCAAAAGTGGTTCTCATCCAGAGTGGACTGCAGTGAAATTCAACTCATATAATTGTAGGAAAATTCTTCTACCAGTCCTTCCTCATCTTAAACGAAATCGGGTGAAAAAAGCTCATACTACTGATTTACTGGTAGTCCCGACACAATACTTGAATGCGAATGTAACAAAAATAAATTCGTATAAAGTTAGCTAGATATAGAATGATTTTGATAGTTAGTTGTCAGGGTAATCTTAGTATATTTTTCA